ATCCGCCGCCTGCAGGCGATCCGGAGCGAGGGCGTCGCGCGGGTCCTCGACGTCTTCGAGGATTGCCGCGGGGTGAGCCTGGTGACCAGCATCATCGCATCGTCATCACCATCATCAGCACCATCCTATCCACCACCATCACTTCCACCATCATCATCATCATCATCACCACCACCACCACCATCACCATCACCATCACCATCACCTTCATCATCAGCATCAGCATCGTTAGCATCATCATAATTATGCATCATCATCCCAATCATTCATCCTCATACATCAACATCATCATCAGCAGCAGCATCATCATCATCGAGGACTGCCGCGGGGTAAGCCTGGTGACGGAGACCTGCTCTGGGGGCAACGTCTACGACCGGATCCTGCAGCGGCAGTACTTCGCGGAGCAGGAGTCCGCCATGCTGGTGCGCCACATGCTGCAGTCTCTGGCCTCGCTGCACCGGGCGGGGCTCTCGCACGGCCACCCGAGCCCGGACTCCTTCAGGTTCCAGAGCGAGCAGACGCACGCGTCGCTGAAGCTCGTGGACTTCGGGCTCGACCTGAAGGTGCAGCTCTGGGACGCCATGGGCAGAACAGGCCCGGGGCCTCACGATGTCAGGCGCCGCACCAACTGCACCCAGCTCTTCGAGACCTGCCGCCTGGTCTTCTGCGCGCCGGAGGTGGTGCGGACGCTGCAAGACCGGGGCGCCTCGAACCTGCCGCCTCGGAAGGGGGCGGGCGCCAGAGCCTCTGGGCCCTCGGAGCCCGACCTGCTCTCCGAGGCCATGGACTCCCACCTGCAGCGCGGCGAGGACGGCGAGCTCCAGGTCGCGCTGGAGGCGGCCGACACGTGGAGCATCGGAGCGATAGCTTTCTTGCTGCTCTGCGGGTACCCGCCGTTCTTCGCGCCCTGCCGGCACGCCATCCTGGAGCGCGTGAGCAAGGTCGACTTCTCGTTCGACCCCCCGTTCTGGTCCAAGATCTCCGAGGAGGCGAAGGACTTCGTGCAGCGCTGCCTGCGGGGCACGCCGGGCAAACGGCCCTCAGTGGCCGAGGCTCTGAGACACACCTGGATCCAGAGCTTGGCGGACACGTCGCCCTCTGGGTCCATGCTGTCCTCGTTCGCGCTAAATTTGCGGCGATGTTACCGGACATCGTTGATCGAGGCCTATACCGCGAACAGCTTGGCGGCCAAGATGAGCCACGCCGACGCCCGCGTGCTTTACGAGCTGTGCATGGAGACCGACACTGGGCGTTGCGGCTTCCTGACAGCCTCGGAACTGCGGGTCATCCTGGCTAACCTCGGCCACCAGGAAGTGTCCGAGGCCATCGGTATCGGCTTCTCTCGCGCGCTGCGCCACCCAGGCGAGTCTTATATCGACTACGCCGCGCTGGTACAGTCCATTTGCGCCCGGCACGAGCAGATTCTGGAGGAGGACCTGTGGAGCTACTACCGGAAATTTGCCGCGACGGGTCAGGGCGTGGTGCTGGGCTTCGCGGAGGTCACCGCGACAGGTCGCCTGCCCGCCGCGTGGCTGGGCGGCTTCCTGCGGGATCCAGAGGTCCACCAGCTGCTCTCAAACGACGGCGTCGAGGACGTCGCCGCGCTCGCGGAGGACGTCCGCGGGCTGTCCCGTGCCCGGCCTTCCAGCATGAACGAGGCAGATAGGAAGGCGTCGGGCTGGTCGAAAGGACAGGATGGGGAGAGGGGGGGGGGTCGAAGAGGAAAAAACGCCATAAACATAAAATGTTGGCGCTCAGCGCGGATTTCTTGGATCTGCGCTGGGTCCTCGGCGGCGCATTCGGCGCGCCGCACCTGGCGCGCTCCGTGCGCCAGGGACAAGAAATCCGCGCGGAGCGCCAAAATTTTACGTTTATGTCATCTTTTCTTCTTTGGGGGGGGGTCAAATATCTGCTGCATGCAGCTGGTTTGGGCCCGCCACAGGGCCCATTCCTCGATGCATGGGCGACTCCCGGCGGCTGGGAGGCGCCGGGCAAATCAACTCTCTGCCCCACCCTTTGCTACCCTACCCGTTCGTCCCCCCTAAGGCTCCCCACTAAGGCTCAAGTGGGGGATCGACTACATACAGAAGTGATTTACCCCGAAATTGATTTCGTCGACTCTACCAAAAAAACATGTACTATGTTCGTGTATCTACGAACCTGCTACGTATTTTTCGTGGAGTCCACGGGAAAATCAATTCTAGACGCTTCGCGTAACCCCACCAGCACCTTCCGCCGCTGGCGCTCGCCTGCGGCTGTAGAAAAAAAGAAGAAAAAAAAGAAACACAAAAAAAAGCGTTTCTGAAGCTGCGGCGGTTCGCTGGCGCTGTCAGAAATTCCCCTCCTTGCTGGACGACGTCAGCTACACCTTCGGTCCGCTCATACCCGACAGACACCCTGGGCTGACACCTTCTTGCTCGGAGACTGGTTCCCACCACCATGCGATTGTCGGTCCGACACGATCCATGACTGGGGATGTGCGGCGCGCCATTTTGGCCGCGTCCGCCTTGCTTCCTGAGTGACTGACCCCTCAGACTCCCTGGGTTGCAGCTTGCACTGCCGCCTGGCCTCTCAGACGCCCTGGGTTGCTGCTTGCACCGCCGCCTGATCCGCGGCCCCCGCGCGCGCCCGGGTAATTCGTCACGGCCGCAGCCCGACCGTGACCTTCCGCCGCTGGCGCTTCCGCCTGCGGCTGTTTGTTTGTTTGTTTTATTATTTTTTAATAATAATAAAAAATGAGAAAAAAATACCCCACCAGCCCATCCAGAAACGATGCCCAGAGGAATTGTCTCGATCAGGGCAGTGGGCAGCACACAGAGGAAGGGTCCCCCAGTGGAGGCCTCTTGGAGCGTCTTGGGTGCCTCGGAGAGCTTCTTGGGGCCTCTTGGGGGTCTCTTGGGAGCATCTCGAAGGCCTCTAAGGCGCCTGTTGGGGCCTCCTGGGCGCCTCTTGGGGCCCTCTTGAAGCGCTCTTGGGAGCCTTGGGAGCGCTCTTGGGGCCATCTTGGGGGACATCGATCAAACAAGAAGCGAGCAGTAGTTAGCGCTGCCCCTCGGGAGCCCAAACAATCGCCTCTTGGAGCGCTCTTGGGGCCGTCTTGGGGCTCTCTGGAGCCTTTCTTGGAGCCCTCTTAGGCCATCTTGGAGCCATATTGAGGCCTCGGATGGCCATCGGAAGCGAAAAGGCGAGAAAGCTAAACACAGAATTTCCTAAGGTTTTGGCCCCTTCGGGGCCTCCTGGGGGAGCTCTTTGGCCACAGGGGGGGCATCTTGGAGCATCGTGGGAGCCATTATGAGACATCTTGGGATATCTTGAGCCATCTTGGAGGTCATCTTGGGCTCTCCCAGGCGCTCTTGGAGTCATCTTAATCAGTGCCCCCCCCCCAAGAGGCCAACATGTGGCTAAAACCTTTGTAAAATCAATAATTTGGCATTCTCGCCGAGGCTTCGTGGAGCATCTTGGGTGCCTCTGGGGGGTCTCTTGGGGCCTCTTGGGGGTCTCTTGGGAGCCTCTTGGGGGCATCCTGGGGGCCTCTTGGGGCTTCCTGGCCACCTCTTGGGGCTCTCTTGGGGCACCCTCGGGAGCCTTGGGGGCCATCTTTGGGCCACCTTGGGTAAGATCGATCACAAGAGGGGGGGCACTAATTAGGGTCCCCCCCTCAGGAGGCCAAAATGGGGCCAAAACCTGGGTAAAACAAATGATTTTGGCTTCCTCGCCGAGGCTGTTTTGGACGCTCCGACACCTCGGGAAACCTTTTGTCCAGGTCCATGGGGAGAGGGTAGGGGGAGGGGTAAACCCCTCCCCGAAGGGGAAGAAGGAGGGGTGGAAGAGGAAACTCCCTAAACCACCGACGCCCAGGGGGCTGGTGGGATTTTTTGGGTAAACTAATTCTGCAGTCAATCCTCTACTCGGATCAGGGGCAACGATAAAGGGGAGAGACGCATAGGAAGGGCGCATCGACCCCCAATCGCCCACTGATCGCCGTTAGGGGCCCGATAGCCCCAACCTGCCCAGGAGCGCGCGTATTCACTATCGGAGGCCAATCGCCGATCTATCGGTGATGCATCGCCGATTCCAGGTCAATGTTCCCCCCCTATGCCAGTCCCCTCCCATCGTTACACATTGTTCATTTCTAAGTATTCGAAAGTTCTTTGGTTTTTGGAGGGGTGGCAAGATCCTTTCATTTCTATTTGTTCTATCCTGGGCCTCTTCCTGGCCACTGGGGGGCCAGGAACAATTAGAAACGAGCACAGTCAGAAATGAGCACGATCAGAAATGAACGACGCGTACCCCTCATCGGAAGGCGGTGACGCCGTCTCCCGACGAGCTGGAGGTGGACTTCCTCGAGCTTATCTCCGAGGTGATCCGGCGCCTGCCCCTCAGCGGCGCGGGCCCCTCGCCCGCGCCGCCCTGAGCGGAGCCCGCGCGCCGGGGCCTTGAGGGAGGGGCAGGGAGCATCGGCCACGCGCAGAGGGGCAGGGCTCGGCGCCTCCCGAGACGCAGCCTCCTTCCGAGGCCCCCTCGCGCTACGAAAGCATTACGACGGTAGGCGCTTCGCTATTTTCGGCCTCTGGGGGCCCGTTACCGTGCCTCGGGGCCATCAAAAAACGACTCGGGATGAAAGACCGGTCCCAGGGAAGGGGTCAAGACCTTTGGGGGCCGACGTCGCGAAAAAAACACGACGTCGGGGGTCTGGGTTCGAAGAATCGACCACACGCAAGAGTGATCTTTCGCCGGAGTGACCTTTTGATGCGGGCCCAGTGGGGCCCTCCGATCTCCGAACGCGGTGCGATAGTAGCGCTTTGCGCGCCTGTGTTTGGTCCCCCCACGGCCCCCCAAAAAGCCGCGCACCAAAGGTCACTCTCACCCGGGGTTGCACTTGCGTGTAGCCGAGGCAGGACCGGCGCCTTCCGAGAAGCAGCCTCCTTCGAAGAGGCCTTCCCCCCTCCCCCTACCTCCCACTGTGCGCGCCGCCAATGCAGGGAGGATGAGAGGGTCGGGGGTCCCCAGACAGGGTGGTGACCACACCGTGCGGTGAGTCGGTGGGGATTCGGGGTCACCGCACGGTTTTGGGACTCGGGTCGTTCTCCGAGGATGTCTCGGGCGGGCCTGCGGGGTCCCAAGACCGTGCGGTGACGGACCGTGCGGTGAGGTCTTGGGGATTTCGAGGTCACCGCACGGTCTGTCACCGCACCGCTTCGGGACTCCAAAGAGGGGTCGGCGACTTCAAAAGGGTGTGGTTCCGCCGTGGCGTGGTGTGCGATCGGCGCCGCGGGGGCCCGGGGGGCACGACGCTGTCATCGCCGGGCCTCCCCAGGGCACGGCGGAGGGCTCGGTCGAGGCCCCCGCCCGCTCCCCCAGGGTGCCCCCCGGGGTGCCCGTTGCGAGCCACACCCTTTGCAGACCACGCCCTTCGGAGTCGCAGAACGGGGGCGGGGGAGTCCAGGTCTCGCGAGCGGGTCCCGGAGCAGGTGGGGCGGGAGGATCGCGCTGCATCGCCGATGCGTCGCTGGTGCGGCTCGGCGTGGAGCCGGACTTTTCTCCACGCCGACGGCGTCGATGCATCGGCGATGCGGCGCGATGCTTCGACCCCATCTGCTCCAGGAGGCCTCAGCAGTCAAGGCGCTGAGCTGAGGACCGCTTCGGGGTCTCCTTCGCTGGCCGTGCCTCAGCTCTGGGCCGGCCGCTTTTCGGTGGCCGAGGCTCGCCGTGGCGACAAAAAAGCCCGTTCGCTCCCCGTGTTGGGCGTTGCTTATGGTGCGGCATGTTCACGCGGCGATGGCGCGCTGGCGACGCCAGCGAAGGCGTTCAAGGTGGAACTCTGCATGACAGAGCGACGCGGAAGCATCGAGGGAGACAGTGGCGCCACAGGACCCGGCGGAACTCAATGCTGAACGATCGGGGCCGCCATCTGTTCACGCGCCGTAGAGCGATGGTTGTATGGAGACTTGGCATCGCTCGGATGTGTGCATTTTTTCTCGGCGCGGACCATCGAGGAGCATCCTGGATCATCTTGCCCCCCGCCCCCCCCAAAAAAACGCGCACGATACCGAAAGGTACAAGGGGCATGGACGACCGAGCGATTGCGAGGATTGGGATTAAGTCGGACCTGTCCCCCTACAGGGGGATTTTGGCCGGAAAATTTACACAAGCCCAAAATATATTCCCAGAATGCTAAAAAATAGTCCCAAAATAGTCCCCGGACTATCTCTGGACTATCTCTGAAGATTCCCCCTGTAGAGGGGCAGGCCTTTAAGATTGGGAGGGGTGGGCGCGCCGCGGCGGAGCAATTCGTGGACCCGCGCGCGCGCGCTCCTGCGCGCGGCGACGGCGAGGAAAGGAGCGGAGCCCGGGCGACGGTGGCGCGAGCGCGCTGCCTCGACGTGTGGCGGCCTCCTCGCTCGTGCTCGGGCTCGCGCCGCGGCGCTGGGAGCCGGCGTCCCTCCCCGTGGCGCTTCGGCTCCTCGTGGCCCAAGCAGTGGCGAGGCCTCCTGGCGTGCCTATTAGTCCTGCCTAGCAATGTCCTGAGAACCTCTTGTCGCTTTGCCTCTTGTCGTCTTGTCTCGTCGCTCTGTCGCCTCCCCTCTCGTTTCCTGTCCTCCCGCCTTGTCGTTTCTGCGCTTTGGGGTTGTCGTTGCGTCCCCCTCGGCCTCGTCTTCCTCCTCCTCTCCCTCGTTCCCTCGTCGCCCTCCAAAAAAAACGAAATCCGTCGTAACGCTCGGCGGGTGGGAACAAAAAAAAAAAAAAAAATCGTGTTGGGACTGTCTTGTTTTATCACATCGGGTCGATGCTCTAAGAAAATTGCTCATTGCTTGTGTTCTTAGAACATCGCTGGGTTCTAAGAACATTTCGTGGTAGGACTATAGGAATGCCGGGACGGTCGGTCCCTGCTCGACTGGTCGCTCCTCTGGCTCCTGCTCGGGGGGGTGCTAGAGGTGCCCCCGGCCGCCCCCAGCCTTTCGCTCAGTCCCGAAGCCCCTGGGGCCCTCTATGGGCCTCGCGAGGGGTGCTCCAAAGGCCGGGGGGGCGTCCTTAGGGGATCCTGGGGGCACCTGGGGCCAGGGGCGCTTCTAGCAACACCCGACGGAGCCTGCCCCGCCCTAACGTTGCCCCTGACGCTGGAGCCCGCCCACAGCGCCGCCGGGGCGCGCAGCGCCTTCTCCACGGCCTCCACCACGCGCAGCACCGACGCGATGCCCCGGGCGAGCTCGGCGCGCCGCGCCGCACTCCCTGCCAGCGCTGGGCTGCATCGAATCGCGACGTCGGATCGGAGCGGAAACGGATCACAGGGCCAAGACATTGCAGCCAGAACATCGGGAGCTCCACCTGGAGGGAACGAAGACTGGAAAGGGCTTCGGCCCACGGATGCAGCTCTTTCTCAGGCGCGCCGATGCCCTGGTTTTCGAGTAGGGGATCGACCACAGAATTGGTGTACCCCATACTTGGCTTTTTCCGTCGAACCCATGACGAATGCTACGTCTGTTTTGTAGATTCGACGAGGAAATCACTTCGGGGGCGAATCAATTCTGTAGTCGGTCCCCTACGCGAGGTTTAGCAAAGTCCCCGTTTGAGGGCCCTGATCCTCCCCGCCGCCCACCGCGCCCGCCCGCCCGCACTCCTCGCGGCTCCAGGAAGCACCGGCGGCCGAACTTCTACGACCTCCTCGGCTGCCCCTCGGTGGCGTCGCACCTGGAGATCAAGAAGGCCTACAGGGAGCGCGCCGCCGAGTGGCACCCCGACAAGAAGGGCCACCTCGACGACGCCGGCAAGAAAAACGCCGAGGCCCCGCGGCGCGGGCGTGCGCCCCCATGCTTCGAGGGGGCCGCGGTGGGTGCACGGGCAGGCACACGGGCACGGGCTAGGCACGCGGGCAGGCGTGGAGGCAGACGAGGACAGAGACGATGAGACGGGAAGAGGCGGTGGCGTGCAGAGGCAAGCATCGGAGGTAGGAGAAGCGACACCAACACCACCAGGGGGCCCACCTCCAGCGAGGAGGCCCACGATGACTCCCCGTGCTGGAGGCTGAGGATGTCTCGAGCGAGAGGGGGGACCACACCACCAGGAAGACCCCCCTTGCCTCCTCACATCTCCTCGCCCTGGTGGTGTTGGTGTCGCCGTTCCTTGCTCCAACAAGCAGAGACGAGCAGGGGCAGGTAGAGGTGGATACGGTCAGGCAGAGGCACACCTTGGGCCACGAAACGTGTGAGGGTTGTGCCGAGATGCGCGGGGGGCGAACGCAGGCGAACGTCGCCACTGGGGCCTTCGGTGGAGCTACCTATGGAACCACGAATCGCTGTACTGGGTGGGGCGGACGCATACGAACGTCGCCACTGGGGCTTTCGGCGGAGTTCCCAAGGAGCCACGAAACGCTGTAGTGTGTGTGTGTGTCGGACGCATGCGAACGTCGCCACTGGGGCTTTCGGTGGAGTTCCGTATGGGGCCACGAAACGCTGTACTGTGCGGTGCGAACGTCGCCAATGCGGCTTGCGGTAGAGCTCCCCCTGTGACCACGAAACGCTGTAGTGTGAGTCGGACGCGTGCGAACCTCGCCACGGGGCAGAGGCACGCAGGGGAGGAGGGAGGGAGGGGGAAGAGGAGGGGAAGGAAGACGCGGGGCGCTGTCTTCTCAGATAGAGGACCCAGCCGCATAGGATGCTTGGGTATAGTTATCCCGTCGAAGGACCCAACCATTTGCAGTTGTGAGTACCGCGGTGTGGGCGCCGCTTTCGATGGAGCTGCCTATTGGGTCACGAAGCGCGTGAGGGGTGTGCCCAAATGGGCGAGGAACCGCATGTGGACCGTGCCGGTGGGGCCTTAGGTGGAGCTCCCTATGGGGCCACGAAACGCGTAAGGGGTGTGCACAAATAAATGGACGGTGGACCGCATGTGGACCTTGCCATTCGGGTTTTCGGTGGAGCTCCCGATGGGGCAACGAAACGTGTGAGGGGCGTGCCGGAATTAGTGAGGAACCGCACGCGGACCCTGCCACAGGGGCCTGTGACGGAGCTCCGCATGGGGCCACGAAGCGTGTGAGGGGTGTGCCGAAATTGGTGGGGAACCGCGTGTGGACCCTGCCAGTGGGGCTTTCCATGGAGCTCCCCGTGGAGCCACGAAACGTGTGAAAGGTGTGCCGAAATCGGCGGGTAGCCGCATGGGGACCGTGCCACTGGAGCCTTGAGTGGAGCTCCCTATGGGACAACGAAACGTGTGAGGGGCGTGCCCAAATATATGAAAGGAGGACCGCATCTGAACCCTACCTCTGAGGCCGTCGGTGGAGCTCCCGATGGGGTAACAAAACGTGGGGGTGTGCCGGCATGGGCAGGGAGACGCATGTGGACATTGCCGTTGGAGCTTTCGGTGGAGCTCCCGATGGGGCAGCGAAATGTGGACACTGACGAAATGTGGAACCGAGGGGTGTTTCGAAATCAGCGGGGAACCGCATGTGGACCCTGACGCTGGGGCCTTAGGTGGAGTTCCACATGGGGCCACGAAACGTGTGAGGGGTGTCCCCACATGCGGAGGACCGCATGTGGAAACTGTCACTGGGGTCTTCGGTGGAGCTCCCTCCGGGGTCACGAAACGCGTGAGGGGTGTACCGAAATAGGTGAGGAACCACATGTGGACCCTGCCACTGGGACCTTCGCTGGAGTTCCCTATGTGGCCACGAAACGTGCAAGGGGTGTGCCGAAATCGGCGGGGAACCGCATGTGGACCCTGCCACTGGGGCTTTCGGTGGAGCTTCCTATGGGGCCACGAAACGTATCAGGGTGTGCGTGCCGAAACGGGCGGAGGACCGCATATGGTCCTTGTCACCAGGGCTCTCGGTGGAGCTCCTCATGGGGCCGCGAAGCGTGTGAGGGGTGTGCCGAAATCGGCGGGGAACCGCACGCGGACCCTGCCACTGGGGCCAGCGCTGGAGCTCCCCATGGGGCCACGAAATGTGCGGGGGGGTCAAAACAAGCGGAGGACCGCATGTGGATCTTGCCGCTTAGGCCTTCCGTGGAGCTCCCTACAAGGCCACTAAACGATGTGCTAGGTGTTCCGAAGTGGTTGGCCTGAGGGCAGAGGCAGGGGTGGGAGAAGGGAGGGGGGGGGACGAGGAGGAAGGTGAGGACGCGGGGCGCTGTCTCTTCAAAACGAGGACCCAACACCACAGGATGCTTGGGAAGGACTGACTTGCCTGTTGGTTGTTGCATGATGTTCGTATTCTCTCCTTCCGCCGTCCCAGTGCACAAGATGGCCCAGCAGTCTTCCAATATCGCCCCCAGACGGCCATCAATAGCCCCAGGGGGGTCCCAGAAAGGGCAGAGGCCGCCCGGGAGGGGCCCAAGAGGGCCACAAGAAGCCCCAAGAAGTCCTTTGGATGCGCTCCAGGCGGCAGAGGGCCCCAAGACAGCTCAAGACGGGACCAGAGCGCCCTGCCACCACCCCAAGAGAACTCCCAGATGGCCCAAGAGAGCCAAACCCGCCCAAAAGACACCCGGGACGGCACGAAAAACGATCCTTGAGACCTCCAAGACAGGCCAGAAGAATCCAAGCCGTAAGCAGAAGAGCCCCAAGACGGACCGTCCAGCATGCGTCTAAATGGTTCCAAGCATGCTTCCAAGTAGTTCCAAGCCAGCCCAAAGAAGGCTGGAGGCGGAGGAGGTGGCGGAAGAGGGACTTTCCAGGGTGAGCACAAGCGGTTCCAAGAGGGCGGAGGTGGCGACAGAGGAGGAAGCGGTTGAGGATGAGAAGGCACTCCCTGGAGAGCCAAAAGATACCCAAGAAATGGCTCAACGGCCTCCTACTGCGCCAACAAGAGCCTACGCAGGTCTCAGTCGGCACAAGCAGCCCCAACGCCACCCTTATCCGTCCCCCTCCGGTCCTTCTTCGCCGCTCCTCTTCTGTTGTCATCCCTTCTCGTTCATTTCGTGATTCCTTCCCCTCTCGCTCCTGCTCCTTTTTCTCGGCCACCTCTCCCCCCTCCCTCCTCCTTCCTCCTCTGCCCCGGGCTGCACCAGAAAGGACCGGGGACTGGGGCCAGGGCCCCCCCTGGCTGGGACCACGACCGCACGGCCCGAAGATGATCCTAAGCCGCCCTTGAAACCTTGCGGTCCTGGTTTGCCAGGGAACGGCTCCCGCGTTGCGCCCGCGCTAGCGAGAGCTGGAGCGCGCGCGAAGCGAGCGCGATACGGGGCAGCAGGTGCCCCACCCGAGGCCCACTGAGGCGGTCTCCAGTCTGTACGTTCACCACCCAGGGTGGCGAAGTTGGCCCGCTGGGCAGCTCGCCGATCTGCACCGATGCTAACGACGAAGCATCGCGTGGGGAAAAAACAATCCTCCTCCTCCGCCGCCTCCTCCTCCTCCTCTTCCTTCTGCCGTGTTGAGTGGCAGCACGTGCAGGCGGTTTTTCTCAGATCCCCCCCTCAAGGAGGATGGCGGCGCTTTGAACACCTGGAGTGGGGGGGGTCTCCTCGTCGCGGATGAGAAACCCTGACGCCCACGGTCGCGTCTATGGCTGGGGACCTAATTCGCTTCAGCATTACTTTTGCTGCGAAGTGCTTCTCGGCATGATCTCGGAGGTCTGCCGATCTCCCTTCCCTGCTGAGCCTCTCCCAAAACTCGCCATTGCCCCCTCGTGCCAAGAGAGCCTCCGTATGGTTGTGATGGCAGTCCACTTCTACAGGAAACTCAGTCATGCATACTCGGCATCGCCATTGGTCAGTTTTCCCCTGCCAGAGGCTCGAGCCATTGCTCGCGCCGCGAGGCAGGCGACCGATCTGCCACAGAGCGGTCGGCGATGAGGTGGACGAACTGCTCCTCTCGACGCTCTGCCTCCTCCTCCTGCTCCTCCTCCTCCTCCTCCTTTTCCTCCTCCTCCTCCTCCTCATCCTCCTTCTCCCCCTCCCCCTACTCCTCCTCCTCCGCCTCCTCCTCCTCCTCCTCCTCGTCCTTCTCCTCCTCCTTCTCCTCCTCCTCCCTACTCAGACTACCTCCTCATCCTCCTCCTCTTGCTCCTCCTCCTCCTCATCATCATCCTGCTCCTCCTCCTTCCCCCTGTTCCCTTCCTTAGTATCATCCTCTATGCCTCCCCTCCTTCTGATCGATCCACATCCTCCTGCGATCCTCCTCCTCCTCCAGGACCCTGGCCTGCCGCAGTGCGTACGTTGCAAACGACGCGGAGCGTTCTTGGCCTTACCTGGAAGCGCCTGGTCGGAGGATTGTGCAGGGCGGTCGGGCAAGGGAATTCCCCTGGCCATCGAGCGAACACAAGGGACCGCCGAAGAAGAAGGGGCGGCCTTGCTGCTACTCTGCAGCATTGCGGGTGTCAGCGGCGTGTGTGCAGCTCTCTCGAGGAGATGTTCAAGCGCATCGGAGAGGCATACGAGATCCTCACCGATCCGCAGAAGAAAGAGCTATACGACAAAGGCTACGACCTCGAAGGCAGCTCTTGCTTCGCATTGTCCCTCTGATGTCCGCTCAGTGATCGGGATAAGATTGTGCGTACCGGAATCAGGCTCGGGTTGTGTATTCGGATTCTTTGTCATCAGCACCCGTCCCCCGCCAGCCAGACTGCAGGATTTCTCGATCGAGATACAAAGTTTGATCGCCACAGAGCTCCTGGCACCCTGATTACGTCCGTACGCTCCGTTTCTTACGCGCTGGCTGCCAAAATCCAGTGCTCTAGTAGCACCGTCTGGAACATACAGGGCCTGAGGCTAGGTGAAGTACGCTCGTTAAGCTGCTGTCGCGGGCCGGGACTCAAACCTCGGCATGTGACCGCAGGACTTACGCAAACGTTTTGACCGTGGCGGCAATGACGAGGAGGAGGGTTCAAAATGAATGGGTCGGTTCTTAGCAATATGGCACTAGAGGAAGAGTCGAGCTGGGCCCCGAGATTTGACTCCGTGAACAAAAACAAACGACGTCGTGACACCAAATACGGCCAGCGATCCCGATCCCATCTTTCCGCGGGATGGTTTCAGCAACACTCCTCTGTGAGAGCACCTATCCCGGACGAGGGGGAAAATTCCAGTCGTGTGTTTCGCGACGCCCGTGCAAGGGTTATCGATGTTCTTACTTATTATATACGACATCGATTGTTTAGGTCTTGTGCACGCGCTCAGGTAAGCCGCCACCTGTCCACGGTGTTTCATGCCAAATGTCCAGGCCTCTCAACCAGGATGCGAGTAGGTGGGGTCGGAGGTTCGCGTCGCATCGCCGATGTATCGGCGATGCGGCTCGATGTGAGGCCCGATCTTCTCCACGCCGACGTCGATGCATCAGCGATGTATCGACGATTCTTCGACACTACCTGCTCGGATCCTGTGTAAGAGGCCCCCTAATGCGCCGTCTGGGCCTGGCCCGTGCCTTTCTGCCAGTCTTGTGCCAGGGGGTGGGGGCATGTCGACCGCAGCAGCAGCCGGGGCTTCCGACGACTCGTTCGATCGCGAGAGCGGGGTGGCCAGAGCCTGCGCTCGGTGGCGCGCGGAGGAGGCCGCGGGCGCCGGCCAGCGCATCCGGTCCCGCAGGCGAGCGCCGCGCGAGCCAGCGGGCCTCTGAGGCAGACGATCTCCAGGGGAGGCGTGCGGAGGAGGGGGGCCAAGACTTCAGCGGGCTGGCGGAGGGGCCGAATATTTTGGAAACGGGGAGGCCTCGCCCCCTCGCAAGGCCTCATCATCGTCCCGCCCCTGCTCTTGATCTTGCTGCCCCTCTCTTGATCTTGCTGTTATTGCCACTGCCCTTGATCTTGATCTTGCTGATCCGATTGATCTCGCTGATCCTCCTCTTGATGTTTAGGGGCATCGTCTTTCTGCCCCTGCGATTGATCTTGCTACTCCTCCTCCCCTTCTCGTCGTCCGAGCAGGAAAAAGAGAATGAGGAAGGCGATCAGGGGGAGAGAGAGAGAGAGAGAGTGAGGCAGAGGAGGGGATGGAGGAGGGAGGAGCAGGATGACGAGGAGGAGAAAGAGGAGGATGAGAAGGAGGAGGAGGAGGAGGTTCAATGCAGTTCAAAGTCATGCAAAGCATTGGTTGGCGTTGCTTGGCGTTGCTTGGAATCGTTGCTGGGCATTGCTTGGCATGTTCTGGCGTTGCTCGGTAGTGATTGGTGCGGCTTCATATTGCTTTGCATTGCCTGGCGTTGGTTGGCATTGCCTGGCGTTGCTTGGCATTGCTTGGTATTGCATGGCGTTGTTGTGCATTGACTGGCATTGCCTGGCCGAGAAAGGCAGCAAGGAACCAAGACCAAGGAACCCGAGGAAGGCAGCAGGGAGCCAAGACCAAGGAAATCCGAGCCACGCCGAGCGCCGCGAACGCAAGAAGCCAAGACCAAGGAACCCGAGCCACGTCGAGCGCCGCCCACACAAGGAACCAAGACCAAAGAAACGCCTCAGGATTTGTGGCGCCGCAACCACCGGTTTCTGCCACTAAAGCGTGCATATCGCCTTCTCGTTGGTTCGGCGATCCAAGCGTGCGCGAATTGTGCCATTTCTCCCAGTGCATACGCCTCGCGTTTTTTCGAATACGGCCACTCACGCGCGTTTGCAGGTTTGGAAAACCTTGGCAGAGCCCAAACAAACATCCTGATCGATTCGGCCCCGGGCATCCAGATTTCCTGGGTCTGCCAAGAGCCCAAACCTCCGAACCACCGTTGCGTTGCTTGTGAGCACGCGTAGAAGCAGGTGGGCCACATCCAGGGCTTCGCCCTTCTGGGCCAGCTGCACTGGAGGGCAAAAACACGCATGTGAACTGAAAGTAATGATGATGGCTTGTGGTTGCGATGCCAAGAATGATTGTGACGGTGATGAAGATGACGATGTGCGCGAAAAATACTTGCTAGATTGGAACGTGGCTTTTCGGCGTGGACAAGACTTTCGCTTGCTGCCCCCCTGGACCGCACGACGGCCGATGGAGGTGCAGCAAACAGAGCGCCGCACCAGGCATCGATGAACAGATCCAGATCAAGAAGCAGCGCACGGGCATGGGCGGATGCTGCGGCATGCCCCACAGGCACTGACAGTGCCGCTCCGCCCAGGGAAGGCCCCTCTGGCCCTCTCCATCCCGTCCCCATCTCTGCCTTCCACTCCCCCATCCGTCCTCCCAACCCCGTTTTCTCTCTCTTCCCTCCTCTCACCTCCCTCGCCCCGCCTCCCTCAAAACGCAAATTTGCCATTCCTTCCCTGTCCCTTGCCTCCCATCCCTTACAGTGTTCCCATCCAGTTCGCTCCGCTTGTCCCCCCTCCATCGTGCACTACCTCCTCCTCCTCCTCCTCCTCCTCCTCCTCCTCCTCCTGCTCCCTTCCCTCCTCCTCCCTCGGTGTCCTCCCCCATACCCTTGCACGTGATATTGCAGCTCTCTCTCTCTCTCTCTCTCGCTCTCTCTCTCTCTCTCTCTCTCTCTCTCTCTCGCCGTACATACACATATCTCCAAATACATTCATAAACATGTGTGTTTGTGTATGTGACTATACGGATATGGATATGAAAATTGTTGTTTCTGTCATTGTGTCACTCTCTCTCTCTCTCTCTATCATTCTCTCTCGGGCTATATATATATATATATATCTATCCATCTCTGTCTATCTACACATGACGGTTTCTCTCTCTCTCTCTCTCGTGCTCTGGCTCTCTCCCTCTCCCTGTCTCTCTCCTTCTCTCTATCTCTCTCTCTCTCTCTCTCTCTCTCTCTATTTCTCTCTCTCTCTCTCTCGCTCGCTCAGAGTATTCCTACGGGCATGGCTTTGCGCATGGGCACTCCCCCTCCTTACCCGCGTTCCGTTTTCTTGGAAGCTCCTGGAGGATGATGGGAGAGTTGAGAAGAGCAGAGCAAACGAGAGGAGAGAAAGGTGAGAGCACTGAAGAGAGGAGGGTAACATATGATAACAGAGAAGGAGCAGGAGAGAGCAGAAGGAGGATGAGGAGCAGCAGCAGCAGCAGGGAGGAGGAGATGGAGCAGGAGGAACAGGGGCAGGATGAGGCATGAGGAAGGACGGAAGGAGCACGAGCAGGAGAAGCAGCGTTCGACTCTTTGCCGTCCTTTTCTCTCTCTCTCTCTCTCTTTCTCTCTCTCTCTCTCTCTCTCTCGTTCCAGTGTTCCTCCTCCCCCGATCCATTCCCCTCATTGTCCTCCTCCTCCTCCTCTCCGTTCTCCTCGTCCACCTCCAGCTCCCGATGTCTTTCTCCCCTCCGCCCTCCTCCCCCCTCCTCTTCTTCCTCCTCCTCCATTCCTTGTCCTTATAAACAATTCTTCCTTGTCACACCCTGAGGCCGGTCGAAAGCGCGGACCCGCCGTTTCGCATGAGATTATTTGGCCATTTATGGCCTCGAAGCTTAGGGATGTGCCAACAGCTTCAAGGATGTAGGGCGGGTCGCTGCCGAAATTTGGCTCTCGCCTCAGCGCCACGCACATTCCATTTCAAAATTTGCAACAGCTTCACGGATTGAGGCCGGGTCGTGTTCAAAACATGGTTCTCGCATTCGCGCCGCGCACATTCACCTTCAATACGTGCAAGAGCTTGACGGATTTAGAACAGGTGTTTTTCAAAATGTGTTTCTCGTCTTAGGGCCGCGCACACTCGTTTTGAAAAATACAACACGAATACATTCGTTGTAGAATTTGCGAAAGTTTCATTGAGTGAAGGCGGGTGGTTTTCAACGTGTGGTTCTCGACTTATGGCCGCTCGCATTTGTTTTTCAAAGATGGCAAGGGCTTCACGGATTGAGGTTGGGTCGTTTTCAAAATGTGGTTCTCGCCTTAGCGTCGCGCACATTCGTTTTAATGCAGTCAATCCGCATGATAAGGGTGAGCGGTTTTCCTAAGGGTACCCTTGCATCCTTGCCTCCTCGGTCCATCCTTAGCCACTTTCACTGGCCGCGCCCCGCTCGAAAAGCTTCGAAACGGCCTTCCAAGGCCCTTGCATCCTTATCGTGCATCTTTATGATACGGGTCGGCTGTACTTTGCAAGAGCTTCACGGGTTGAGGGCAGGTGGTTTTCAAAATGTGGTTATCGCCTCAGGGCCACGCACATTCGTTTCAAGCAGTTGTAAACAGTCATGTTGATGCTTGGCGTTGGAATCCCGAGAATGGTGTTTCGGCACGCTTCATGGTCTTCAAACGTTTGTCTCCCAACGAAGCAGTTCCCTCAGTGGAAATGAACCTTTGTAGGGTCTATGAAGAGGGAACGTGGAGGGAGGGTTTATTACAACATCGTTGATGAGTCTTGAGTTTCCACTGGTCCTCCTCCTCCTCCTCCTCCTCCTCCTCCTCCTCCTCCTCCCAGTTTCTCCATCCCCCTCCTATCCCACTCCATCCTTACCTCCTCGCACTCTAACTCTCTGGCACTCTGTCTCTCCCGTCCGTGTTCCGCTGCCCCCAACTCCAGGAGGAAAAGGAGCAGGAGGAGGAGGAGGTCGTGGAGAAGGAGGAGGAGGAGGCGATGCGATCGATGCCTCTGCGCTGGGACGATGCCAACCGCATGTGGGGACGTGCCAGAACGATATCATCATGGTAGGACTTTCGTCTTGACCAGCAGCACGTGTAACATGTCAACGTGCATTGAGTTTGGGGAGATCAACCTGACTGCTCGTGCAGTTAAGCCCTGTGTAGTTATTTGACCTGCGGTGCGTGCATGAAACCAGCGCGACCCCAATCGGGGGAACTTCTCCCAGGCGGCATTGTTTGGAATTGCATAAGTTTGCATTGCCTTGCTTGGCTTTGCATTGCATGGCATTGCGTTGCATTGCTTGGCACTGCGTGATATTGGTTGGCATTGATCGGCGTTTGTTTGCATTGTTTTGCTTGGCATTGATTTGGCATAGCTTGGCATTGTTTGGCGTGGCTTGGCATTGCTTGGCGTGGCGTGGCATTGCTTGGCGTTGCTTGGCATTGCTATGAGACAAGACCTAGCAACCCGAGGAACGCAGTAAGGCCACAAGATCAAGCAACCCGAGGGGGCATCTTCAAAAACATCAAGGCAACAAGACCTGGCAACCAGAGGAAAGCCTCTTCACAAATAGCAAGGCAAAAAACAATCGACCCGAGGAAGATTATGTTTCAAAAACACTACGGAAACAAACCGTAGCTTGTATCAAAAACAGTACGGAAAACACACCAGCTCTCCAGAAACAAATGAAATCCCTTAGGCAAGCTTAATATGGGACATAAAATCGAGTTGTAACATTCGCAACACGCCAGCTGACAGGCTCCTGTCTGCCCGCTGCCTACGCAATGTCCCCCGTCATGGGCGGCCCGCAGTGCCGCAAAGGTCACGGCGGGTTTGGTCCAACGCAGGCGGCGCTGGAGGCGGGCCGCGGCCTCTCCGGGCACGCTGGAGGGAATCCCAATCAACGAAAGTTGTTGCCATACCACCTTGAGGGCCGCTTCGGGCCAGCCTGTCCCGCCACTCGGAGGGCGTGAACTGCGCAGGCCCGAAAAGGTATGTGGACAACGCTTTGCCCAATATCTGTCCGCAGCTTTCATGAGAGCTTACGGGCAACGGTGTAGTCATTCCTGTTGAGTGCACCGTGAAGCTCAGCCATGCTCCCCGACTCATCCTATGCACGGTGCCGTGCCTTCATATATTTGCCCTGATCTGTGATGTCACTGAGTCGTTCCGAAGTCGGTGATAACGTTGTCCCGTCTGCAGAGATGCAAGCTCGTCGCAGTGTCCAGCGTTGTGCCGCCGCTTGTGAAATTCCTCATCGTTTCGCCCAGGATGGTCTGCAGAAGACCGGGTGGCAAAATGATTCTGCACAAGAGGAAGGACAGCAGATCAGCATGTCACACACATGATCGCGGAAAGCATCACGCTGGTGATCCTGAATGACTTTGACGTCAGGCATTTGGTTTTGCATTCCTCATAGAGAATAGCGTTGAGCTTGGCCAGAGAATACAGTAGCGTTGAGCCGACCGTGATCCCATCGCAATACTTGCTCGTGGTGCTAGCGCAGACGCATGCCAAGAGCAAGCACAGTCGGGCGTTATTCACGACGGGTAGCGCAGACGCATGTCAAGAGTCACAGTGAGGCGTCGATCCTTGCGCCCGCCGTTCTGTGATGCACACGCTTGAAGGTCGTCCGCAGCCCTGGGCCATACGTCGCAAGAGCGTACCATCTCAGCATGCACACGGTAATTGGCCACTTTGCTCAGTCAAGTAATATTGCAACCTTCGTTGCCATGGAAAGTAAGTAGTCAGGTGCCAGGTACATGCGGTGAGGACGCAACGTTTTAAGATGCAGTTCCCATTATGGTCCCATCTCTCAGGGAACAAGGCGCCGACTTTGGGTCTCATTGTGGGACCCAGTCGGCCGTGCCAGCCTTGAATTCGAAGCCAACATGTCCGTTCACATCCGGTAAGGCTTCGGGCTGCGCCAAAACAGCCCCCCACGGGCCCTTCAAGTAGTTTGGGGCAGTCTCAGCACCCAGGCGCCGCCTTTGGCGGCGCTTTTGAGGCGTTCCGCGCCCCAGGGTTTGGGTGTTGAGACCACCTCGGACTTTTCGGGTGGCCTTTTGAGGCCAGCTGGGGCTACTCGGGGGGCCTGTTGAGGCCAGCCAGGACTACTTGGGGGGGCTATTTTGTTTGTGCTCAACCCGCAGCCCTACTATTCGCATCAATTGAACCTCCAGGTTCCGAGAACGCCGACTGACTAAAGAATTCCCCCACCAAGGGCTCTCCAAGCTCGCGGTAGGACAAGCTCCGCGCTGTCTTTCTTGAAATAATCGGCGTTCTGATGCAGACGGCCGCCAAACTTCTTTCTGCTGATGACTGACAATGCCACTCTGTGCGCAACCCCACAGGGTCCATCCAACCCTTACATGCAATCAGATGCTACACAGAGTCAAGCGGAAGCTACAGGGAGGGCCAGCACCGAAACATGTTGACGTTTGCGTTGGACACAAAAGACAGTTGCTAAATGTTTGTGGCGACGCATGTGCCGATGAGGCCGGGCGGCAAACACGCTCTGTCCGGGGAAAGATAGAGAGAAAGAGAGAGAGAGAACAAATTAAAATAAAAAACG